GTTTAAATTGACCGGAGTAATTTCAATAGAAATAATGTCATAATTCACCTTTTTTTTTTGGCGCATTAGGTCTTTTTCTTTTTGCTACTGGTTTCTCATCGCCTTCTTGAACTTCTAAAACTTGCTTTTGTGAAGCCCACTCTCGATCATTGTTCCTATGCTTCCTATTCGGTCCTTTTTGAGCTTCAATTCGTGGAAGTTCAGGACGATATAATGACCTTAATCGGTTGTATTCAGCAATTGCGGACACTTGCGCTTTAATGTTATTAGTATCTAAGTTTATTAAATGAACTCCTTCTTAACTTGAAACTCTGGAAATCGCCACATACCACATATACCTGGCCGCATGAAAACACCAATAAACCTATATCAATAAGTGCATAAGGAAAACTTAAGCCTTGGCTTTTGGGAATGGTGATAGTATATGCAATATAAAAATTGGAAATTGTTCTCTGTGGACGCATGCACGACTAATAATCTCAAATTTGGGGAAATTTCATAATGAAGTCCATTGTTAAATTTTGTTTCAAGACCTTTGACTTTTTTCTTCTGATCCGCATGCCATTTCACTTTTTAAATAACTCCTATAGAACCATTTACCAGACCCAAACTATCATCTATATTTGGCTTTAACATAATTCTAACTCCTTCTTTGATTACAATTCTTTCTTCTAATTCCGCTGTCATTGAGTCATCCTCTTTATGTTTTCAAGCGCTTCACGGGCTCTTTTTAGAAGAAATTTTGGAAAGTTCAAGTTATCTAAAGCGATGAGTTCAACATATGGAATAGGAAGAGCTTCGAGCATTGATTGCTGCTTACACATACTGTGTATTTAAGAGAAGAGTCTGGGGAGCAGGCATACGGAGCTACGAAGGATGCAGAACGATATTCCGCGTATAGCTAAATTCACTAAAATGTTGCACCGATCTTATTGGGTTCGTTTAGGATCGGCTAAAATACGCACACATAGTTTGCACATACACAGTGTTTTTGGAGCAAATGGTCCCAGGTTCGATTATCGATGAAAGCAATCCTTTTTTTTTTCAATTTTTGTTTTTTCTTAGGGTTTTCATTTTTTTTCTAACGAATATTAAGAGGACGGTTTAGTTTGGATTAGCTCTGTTTAGCATTACTTTTTTTTAAGTTTTGCTTTTTTTCTTAGGATTTTTAATTTTTTTTGAGGACTATTACGAGGACAAGTTAGTTTGGATTAGCTCTAATTTCGTTTAAAATACCAACATACAAAGACTAGCCCTTATCACGAATTACAGTGAAGCTCCGTCTGTCTGTTCCCCAGACTCTTGTATTTAACGATAGCCGTGGAGGGTGGTCAAATTTTCAGGGTTTTTGTATTTTTCCATGGGTTTTGCCATAATTCATATCAGTATGCCAAATTTCAGCTTTCTAGCATGTTTGGAAGTACCTTAGAATCTTGATGATCTATATGTATATGAGTGAGTGACAAAATTGGCGTTTTTTAGGGCCATGTAACTTTTTTGTTGGTTGATGGAAATAGATGAAATTTAATTTTATTATTAGGTCTATAAAGATCTACGACTATGCAAAATTTCAGTTTTCTGGGACACTTCAGAGCTGGGTTTCAGGTAGGTCGAAAATGACCTGAAATGTTTCGAGAAAAGGTATACAGTAGTGCGCGAACTTGGCGGAGGGCACGGTAGTGCCCCCAGATATTCTGAATCAGAAAAACGAGAACTTTGAGAATTTGAAAGAAAATAAAGGGCATTCCATTCAAAAAAAGAGTACAACGACTTATTTTTTTGCTTTGCGTTGCTCATTTGTTCAATCTAATTAAGGATTCTGGCGGTTCAGATAAAATGCTACAACTTTTGTATTTACACCTTTTACCTATCCCTGTAATTACGGCTGCAGGTGATTGTCAAAATATAGTGACTCGCCCTGTACATCAGAGAGCAATCGAAAGGAGAATGGTAGGTATTACACTAGGAATCACAAGACCAACGAGTGGATAGAAAACAGAACAAAGATCGAAGACATTACACATTACCCTTTGGCAAATAAAAGAGGTCTCTAGATCTTGTCATTGCTACCGGTACTCCAAAGTTCAAAAGGCCATGCAATTCAGAACAGTCGATCATATTGTTATACATACATACATATAATTTGTAAAGAAATTGCAGGCTGAAATGTGATTATCTTTGCGCAAGTGACAGAAACTGAAATCTATGTAGATGTATCTGATGGTTACTACCTCGTGGAGGGTAGAAACCATCTGCTTCAAACGATAAATTCTTAAGAAATTTTCTCTGGATGCTTTCAGTGGCATTGATATATTCGTTATAATGCGGATTCCAAATTAGTGAGCCATATTCTAGCTTAGATCGTACATAAGAGTAGTAATAGAATTTTAAGTGTTTGACCAATATTCGCATAAGAAAAGTAAGCATCTACAAGGAAGCCTCTCTAATGCTCAGAACATGAGAGTTGAATGAAAGTTTTGAATCAAAGAGAATACCTAGGTCCTTAAAATTATTAACATACTCAAGTGATACTGATTGAATACTGTATTGATAAAATACTACATTTTTTAATTTTTTTAAGTGTGGAGGTCATAGTTTTGTACGAGGTTTTGCATTTATCAACACCACTGATTAAGTTTATTAAGCTCTTCCTGCAGCCCTACACAGTCCTCAATGGAGTGGATAAACCTATAGAGCTTAAGGTCATCTGCAAATAGAAGTAGATTACTATTAATGACATTATTAGGTAGGTCATTAATAAAAAGCAGAAACAGTAAGGGGGCAAGATTGCTACCCGTGGTGCGCCACTCGTTGCAACAAATTAAGATGACCTGTGACCCCCTATGTCCCACATACAGTTGGCGGCCAGACAAATATGAAGAAATAAAACAACATAAATCTTTATCAAAACCAAGGTGGCAGGAGAAAAGCGTGGTCTAGTCTATCAAACGCTTTTGAAAAGTCAGTGGTAAGCTGTATCAACCTGAAGACGAGAGTTTAATGCTTCCTTTAAATTGATGAAAACAAGCTGAATTAGTGTTGTACTTCTAGCAGCAAAAAAACCACGTTGAAGTGGCGTAATTAGTGAACTTACCTTAGAGAACACCCTATTATAGACAGCCATCTCGAAGACCTTGACAAAAACATTGAGTAGGCAGATTGGTCTGTAATTTTTGACTGAACTAATGTCTCCCTTTTCAAATATAGGCTCTTGCTGCCTTCCAGCAATCTGGGAATACACAAACTTTAAGACATTAATTAAAGATCTTTGACAGTGGATGAATCAGGGCAAACCTAAAGTCTTTAACGAGGAAACTACGGAATCCATCTGGCCCTTGAGTTATCTTTGGCTTGTGTCTACACAAAGCTTTGAGGATTTCATGGTCAAAAAGAGAAGTTATTGAGATATGTGCAAGTTCAGGCTGGGCATTGGAGAGTTAGATAGTGGAAGATAAACACTTTTAAAAAATGTTGTGAATGCATCAACAACATCCTGACCGTTAGTATATTCATGGCCTTCATATTTTACTGTATTAGCACAACCGTGTATTAGGTATACCTGAGTTACTTCGTTTTGAGTGGGCAAAAGACTAAAACTGGGCAGGATCAGACCTAATATTGCTTTCACAATCACATCTGTTCAAATAATTTTTATAGGCTGAGACCAGTCAGTATTGGCAAGCAAGTTATATGTATAATTTTGGAAAGTTTGCTTTACGAAAGTTATAGCGTTCAGTGTCTATATTGGGAAAAAATTATCTGACTTTGGAATTAAGTGTTTGTAAATCTATGCAGAGTGCAGGGTGATGATTGTCTTCTGGTACAAAGGGTACCATATCACGAGTCACATTACATGGAAGTTTACTAAGTACTAAGTCAAGAGTACGTTGATTAGAGTTGAGTATATTTAAAGCACATAGAATATGCACCCTCAAATGGAACTTGGCTGGCCACGTAGTGAGAAACACAAGCAACAACTGGAGAGGAAAAGTAACAAGATGGAGAACCGGGGGGGAACGAAGAAGCGACCTCAACAACGCTGGTATGGCGACATCAAACGAACAGCAAAACTAAACTGGTACCACAAAATAGAAATACCTGGGAAAACTTGAGAGAAACCTATATCCAGAGGATGGAGAATGGCTAGGAAGGACAAGAAGATATTTACAAAAAAAATGATGACCGAGATGTGGTAAAATTTTGCATGCCTAGTCTCGTAATGCGATAGATAGATACATGTTTACAGTGAAGGTGCAATTGAGATTGGACATGCGAAGCAGTGAAAAAGCATAAACCAATAGCCAACGAGTGTAAGCCGTTTTAATTGATTTTTTTCAATATTAATTGCTATAAGTTGATTATCTACAACATTATTTGCAATTTTTTCCTAAGATAAAAACGAGAAAATGGTGCTTTAGTTTTTTTTGTACATAATCCCCTGCTAACTTGTAATGGGACTTTTTGGTAATTTTGTAGTACTTGTTACGTTCTATACAATGATAACAATAACTCGTTTTTTTTTTTTTTAAATAGCGTTCTTTTGTAATTTTGGATTACCTTACTGGTTTCAGAATCTCCAAAATATTAGTTTTTAATACATTAACAATTTAGCTTGTGACACTTTGTCCACCACAGAATTCATTTCTAGAGACATTTTATTTCCCAACTATTAGTATTTTTAACAATTTGCAGTTTTTTATTTTTCTAGTCATTTATCTAGCCATGTCACGCTTTAAGTTATAAGTACCTGGTACCAGGTTACATATTTTGAGAAATAAAAAAAAGTGAATTATTTTTTTTGTTTTATTTTTATTATAAAATATTTTTTAACAAACTACCTAAAATAATCTTATAAATGAATGAAAAAAATGGATTTTGGTAGCGAATATTATATAGTATCAGATTATTCACTACCCTCTTTATTTGGTTCCACAAACAATATAATTAAGAAGCACACCACCATTTTTTCTTTTTAAACAAAAATGCAACAAATTTTCAACTTAGTTTCCTGGCGTAGGCACGTTTAGTAACATATTTTGGCCTCCCGGAAGATAAGCCACTTGTCTGGAGCGAGATAGTTGGTAAGCAATATCTTCGGCGGCTTCTATTCTCCTAAGTTCAACCAAACCTTCACCAGCATCACCAAAAGCTTTGGCCAGAAGGATTGCAGCTTGAGCGTCACCCTCTGCAGAAATTACAGTCGCTTTTTTGGTTTGTTCTGCTTTTTCTACAAGGAATCTTGCTTTTTCAGCTTCTTGTTGGGCAACCTAGAAAACAATAAGTAGGCAAATGATTATTATAATTGTAAGCTGTAGATATTTTTTTTACCTGTTTCAATTCTACAGCTAATGTGAATTCCCTGCCGAAAGTTAAATGTGTAATTGAAATATCATCTAAAATAACTCCAAACTGTGATGCTCTTTCAGTCAAATCGTCGCTAACTTTCTGAGATACGAGATCACGCTGTGTAATTAATTCTCCCGCATCGAATTGTGCAACAACTGCTTTTAAGACTTCAGTTGTGATGGATGGCAATACACGTTCCTCATAATCCTGGCCCAAAACCGAATAGATTTTCGGTAGCTGATCGGCAACCGGCCTGAACAGTATACGAAGAGTGATATTTACATTTTGAAGATCTTTACTTCCTGTGACGACTGGCACGTTCCTGGGCCTGGACCTGACGTCGAAAATGATCGGTCTTTGGATCCAGGGGATGAAAAAGTGGGTACCTTCGCCGATCACTTGCTTTTTGACTCCGGCGAATCTGTCGAAAATGACGGCCCTGTGACCTCCGTCTACATTGAAGAGGGCAGAGTTCACTACTCCACCGACTAGGGCTACGCCTAACCCAAACTGGCCGATACGGTTAAATAATTGAGATGCGGACATTGCTTAGGTTAGTTATAGAAAAAGCGGGCCAGTTTTTTGTTGTTAATAATTTGTTACACAAGCACAAGACCAAAATCACACACCACGGTCTTGTCCGTCTTTTATTTTGAGGTTGGAAAAATAATTTTGACAGTGACAATGATATCTGTCGACTGTCACCGAAACTGCAACGCTGCCAGATTCTTTTTTTTTCACCGAATTTTAAGAAACGAAATCATGAAGCACCAAATTTACTGGAAATCACCGATTTATGTATTGCGAAACTTTTTCTATTGGTCTAAAATATTCAAATTTGACATGGCGCGAAAATAATCCAGATTTTTTTAACTTTTTGCGGTGAAAAATTAAAATTAAATAGATTTCACTATGCCAAGTTAGAAGGGCTTTTATTTGCCTTCACTTCAGTGTCCACTTTGTTTATCGAGTGAAAAACCAAGGTTCTTGGTGAGACCGAGACCTCTCGAAGATGAAAGTTTTTATTTTATTTTTTTTTTTGTGGAAAAAGAGTTCGGCTGAAAGCCTATGTGGGAATTCCGTCTCATACAGTTGGCAACACTGCCGTACAATTGGAGTATTCTATTTGGATTATAGCGAATTCCATTGGCAAAAAAAGTGTAGAAGCAACCGTAAAATATGCACTGGTGACTGGAGCAACCCGAATGGAGTGAAGAGTGCACATTTAACTTCCAAGTTGTAATAATTATCCTTGAAGAATTTTGGAAATTCTAGGGGAATGAGAAGTGTTGATTTATAAAATAAAGAAAATTTTTGGTATAAAATGGTCAAAAATATCAAAACAACAAATTTCTAAAGCGCCGTCTACGAGGAGCGACGAGCAGTTGCGGAACTGGTTGCAAATACGGCAAAAATTTCCGCATATAGTTTTCTAGGGTGGGTACTCATAACTGCGAAATTCGCATTTTTTTGACATTGCGTTGACATTTTGACGTTTTATGCGTGTATCAAACGTCAAATAGGCCCCTTGCATCAAATTTTTTTATTGCAGATTTCGATAGTCCATGAAAAATAAGTCAACACGTGTTTTTTCTTTTTCTTGTTAGTCAAAAATTGACGGAGATACAACGCTTTGAAATCTCCTTCCGACGTCATAACTTAGGTATAATACGTTGTGAGTTGTGACGTCGCACATGCTCAGTATATCTATATATAAAAAACTTAATATTTGTATAACTTCCAGAATAATCATATTTGGGCGGAATGAAAAAAAAGTAACGCTTTTTTTTCGATTTCCTTCAGTTTGCAATAAACAATAATCAATTTAATTTTCCATGCAAGTACCCTATAAAAAAGTGCGAATTTCGCAGTTATGAGTACTAGGCTTAAGCCGCTTTCCAGCTGTGTGCTTCAAGCACGGTGCAGCACAGTGTTCTGTGTTTGAAACGCAAAAGATAGCAGCTCTCGAAGCGCAGTACGGCTGGAACACGAACACGCGCCTAAAGCATTTGCGCGCGCAAAAGCTCGATTGCGTGCTCAAAATGGTCAGCTCAGGAAAGCAGCTCTAGTCAGTACCTGTCTCCGAGTATACCGTTTGTTCGGTATTTTGATCTCCGAGTTCTCCGAGCTTGAATTTACCGTTTGTATTTAAAAAATGTACACAGTGCAGGCTCATTCGCGTTCGTTTATTAAAATTTCAGACACTCGACAAAATACCGAACGCAAGGATAGTTTCTTCGAACAGAGCGCTTCATCGGTAGTCTGCTGGTAAATGCCCGTTGCAAAAACAGATTAGGCTGAGGTCGGCTTTGCACTCCACGGGCGGAACGGTATGAGCATGGATGTCGTGACGTCATACGCGGTCATAAGCCCAACGCAAAAGGGAACACTCTGAGAGCTAAAACGAACAGGATCTTATCATTTCGAGCGCGCTCAAAGTTTACAGAGTGTAAAGCAGAACTCAGCCTTGGTTTGATCGTTTGTACGCATTTGGCACGTTTGGTTGGTTCGACCAGAATGCTCTATCAATGAATACTCACCGTATAGTGAATTATATTGATAGAACCAGTGCGGAAAAAATGTATTTTTATCTCTTTCTTATACAGGGTGGTAGAAAAAAACACGTAACACTCAGTGCGCACTAACCTTTTCAATAGAATTCGCTATAAGACCGTGTTCGTATTTGCGCCATCGGTACAACTCTCTCCTCTCTCTTCACGGAGCAACTTTGCACTAGCGCTTGAGTGGCGTCATTTTTTTCGTCGCCTACGTCATCGTAAGCACTATGAAATGCAATTTTCAACAAGCAGGTACTCAGGTAGGGTCAATGGGTAGGGTAGATTGGGCATATAACAATAACACACAACTACTACTACAGGATAGCCTATCCACATAAGGCCTTTGTAGTTCAAATCTCAAGCCCCCACCAGTGATGACGAAGGCAGCGTGTCGTTTCTCGCCTTGACGTAGGGTGTTTGCACCAGAGTATCATTCCGCGGACTTTTGCTTTATGCATACTTGATTTTACTACATTAATTAACACTCTAAAACAGCTCATTTTTAGATCTTGTTTGCATTTTCCTCATTGCTTTACCTATTATGTTAATCAAAATTGAATGATATTTTCCATCATAAATTTAAATTCTAAACAATCTAAACTACGACCGCTGGCGCAAACCGCTGACAACTTAGTTAATGACGTCGGCAATGGTATTTCACTATATGACCGCGATTACTAAAAACGAGGCAGATAAGCAATTCTGTAGTAGTGTGTATTAGCCTTGGTTGATAGCTTTAGGGCGGGTATTATAAAACTACTTTGAGAGTTAATTTAAAGTTAACTTCTGAAATTACATGTAATTCAAAAAGTTAACTTCAAGTTAAATATCAAAGCAGTTTTATAAATACCCGCCCTTAGCGCCATTTAACCTCCGTGGATAGTTGATTTTGATTTCGTTCGAGAGTTCCAGCTATTTTTATTTTTGTTGTTTCTTATTGATTTTTGTTGTTTATTGATTTTTGTTGTTGTTCAAATGATTTTTGTGGAGTTTTGTTGATTTCTTTCTGGTTGAATCAAACAAATTAATTTATGATGAAAAATATTATTTAATTTTGATTAACATAATAAGCAAAGAGGAAGATGCAAACAAGATCTACGAAAGCGTTGTTTTAGAATGTAAATTAATGTACTAAAACCAAATATGCATAAAGCAAAAGTCCGCGGAATCATAACGTTGGTGCAAACACCCTACCGCTTGGCGAGAAACAACACACTGCCTTCGTCATCACTTGTTCTTTGTCGTGGTGGGGGGGCTTGAGATTTGGTCTGCACAGGCCTTATGAGGCTGAACTCTATAGCGTGCTTCCTCAACACACCCGCCAATGGTATTTATAAAGTTGCACTCGCGGTAAGGAATTGGAACGATCCAAAAACCCTCCGCATGAGCAGCTTAAATTATGAAGATGGTGGTTCACTACTGGAATTGCCGAACTTTCACTTCCAGTATTAAGGGCGGGAATTATAAAACTACTTTGAGAGTTAACTTAAAGTTAACTTCTGAAAATACATGTAATTGAAAAAGTTAACTTCAAGTTAACTGTCAAAGCAGTTTTATAATACCCGCCCTAAGCCTAGTACTCATAACTGCGAAATTCGCACTTTTTTGACATTGATTCGACAATTTGACGTTTGATTCACGCATAAAACGTTAATTTGTCGAAGCAATGTCAAAAAAGTGCGAATATCGCAGTTATGAGTACTAGGCTTTAGCTGGGTTCGGCTATTCAGCGCGGAGTTAGAGTGGAGTGAACAGAGCTAATGGAGTCACCCCTATGGTAGCAAATATCCAGTTAAGTTCCATAAAATTTTGTAGAGGGCGCGAGTGAACTTGGAGTGCTTTGAATTTTGGCGGTAAATGTCAATAGTTTTAAACCGTTTTAGTAAGTGGAAGGAAAGATGACTACATATGAACAATGAACAGTGAATAAGTTAAAATAGCTTCCAAAACGTTCAGTAGCCCTTAAAGAATATTTTCAAAAGTGTCAGCACTAGCTTGTCACGAAACCACACATCAAATTTGACTTTTGAGGTTAAAATTACATTGGATTATTAACGCGCCAAAATTCAAAAAGCTCCAAGTACAGAAGTGCCCTCTTCAACTCAACTGTCAATATTACTTGCCATTACAGTAAAAAGCAATACCCGAATCTTAACCCGAACGGGTGAAGTGCCAATGGAGTCACTCGGAGTGCACGGAGTGAGCAAGCCGAACCCACCTATTGTTGAACTAGAATCGGGTCTGGAACTGCTTATTTCAAATCTGAATATATGGGATTTAGGTGAACATCCCTCATAAAACATGGAAAACAACGTATTTGATGGACCTAATATTCGCCTGCGCACTGATTGACAAATGGAAATTGTCATAAAATACAGGTAGGTCCATTGGGTAGGTCGCATATTGACATGACAATTGAATAGAAGCCGCTGATTGGTGGAAAGGTGGAAGTTGAGGTGGAATTTATTTTCTTGCTGCGTTGCTTATTTTCATTGATAAATAATCGCATTCCACGTGTTAGAAAAAGATACAAAATAACACAAGGATTAATAAATAGTGGGGAGAGATGCGGTTTCTGGGATGTAGTCAACTAATATTTATTGTTTACTGTTCTGTCTATCTGTGTTAATAGAGGCGATTTCGGCAAGCTTTGGTACCTACATGGTTTGGTACCCTGTGTGGTCTGTCAAATGCATACCAACCAATTTCGGATACGAAAATGATGTCGTCACCGTGACTTTGGTATCCTTTTTGGTCTGTCCACAGGTCTGTCAAATAGGATACCGTGGTGGTGGTCAGCAGCACGGTTCTTCTCATTTGGTATAGTGCTATCTACGATAATCTACGTCTATTTTCGTTTTGTCCTGCTCTGGGAAATGTAAATAAATGAAAGTTCATTAGAATTTGAATAATTTGAAATTTTTAATATATATATTTGTTTTTTCGCCTTCATTTTCCTGTTTTCTCGATGTTTTGACTGCCAAATAATGTTTAACGATCATTTGAAAAATGGCTTTGAACGACAGATATGGGGTAACTTTTTTGCTGAATGGATTATGGAATAAGCTTTACATTTACAGAAAACGCTGAATTAGCCAATAAGTTACTCAAAGGTACTGTCTAGACAGTGCTGATTAGTGATTATAGATTTTAGTCAGTGCAGTCAGTATTTAGTCACTTCCAAAACTAGAAGAACGACAAAAAGTTAGGTTACGGCTCGTCTCATGGCGTTTCTGATTGGTAGATTTAGTGCGGAACTAGTGCAGTTTTTTCTATTCCTGTCATTTTCTTCTACAGGTCGATTAAAAGGATGCAAATACACTCAGTGTGCACTGAATCTACCAATCGGAAACGCCATCAGTCGTCTCTTCCCCTCTTTCATGACCTACCAAACGAATTTGGAATAAAATGGTTTCTTACGTCATTTCTATGACGTTGCAGGTACCAATTGGTTAACCAAATGGTATACCAACCAAAGCTTGCCGAAATCGCCTTAGGTCATTGGTCAAAACAAATTTGAAATAGCTGTCATTGTCAGCTGTTTGGTATTTTCGTTTATTCGTTTTGAAATTTGATTGTTTTTGTAACATATTTTTCTTTATTTTATATAAAGTAAAACAAATCTTATCATAATACTCATTAAATTAGATAATTCTCAATTTTAAAGACGCAAAAGTGATTTTTGGTTTCCAATCAAAATGATGTCAGGTATGACAAACTTTCTCCTATAAAAAACTAATCACAGAATTTCACTTTCTAATTGCTCCTAATTATTTTACAGCAAATCTTCCCACCAGAACCCTAGGCGATGGCATGGAAAACAATCCGAACAAATTTCTGGAAATAATAAACATCAACCAACTACAAAAACCATCACTGGCAATCCTAAAGTCCATGGAACCAGTACGACCCACATCGAAAATAATAAATTTAGTGCCAAAATATGTACCTCAAGAAAAGAAGGTGACAAATATCATACTATCGAAGCCAAAAGAACCCAAATTTGTACCCTACGAACCTTATAAGGCAGCAGTGCAACCTATAAAATCCAAAAAAGTTAAAAGGCAACCTATCAGCGTTGATTTTAAAACCTCTAAAAATAATGTGGCAATTCAGGAGTTGGTAAAACAAATGTCTGATATAAGAACCACGGAATTAAATAAGTTGAAAATGACTGCAATGGGTGAAGAGGAAGTTATACCTAAAAGGCAATGGCAAAAAGAGAGGGAAGCTTACGAAGTGGATATTAAAAATTTGAAAGAAACCAAAGCTCATCTGGAAAATCAGTTGAAATTTCAAGCTCAGGTTAATAGTGAATTAAAAACTTTATTAGGTAAAATGAATTGTCTATATGGCATTGGGCATTGGTATATAAATTTACTAATTATGGGTAGTTAAATTTGAATCCATCAAAATTGCTCCTTTTTTGCTTTCCAGTTGCTGCAGTAGGTGAAGATTTGGAAGCCAGAGTACAGCATCTTACTGAAGACAAACTGTCCTTGGCCAGAGCCTTACTGAATTCAGCCAATCACTTGACATCACATCAGGAACAGACTGAATGGCTGAGCGGACAGTGCGAAGTTTGGAGAAGCAAATTTTTAGCTTCAAGGTAAGAACGTAGTACATTGGTACATACACACTTAAATATTCATTGATGTGGGATGTTCCCTCGGATGTTCTACATCAATGAATATTTAAGTGATGTGTTAACTTAATTGTGTTCTTTTAAGGCATGTTTCTCACAATCATGTCCTACAAAATGATTTTTTGTTGATTATTTTTACTACTATTGGCACTATCTCTGTCTTTTCTGGGGCTACAATTCAGCTCATTTCAACTTATTTCTCTGTTACTTTGTGTATCATGTAATCAATCAATCAATCATGTTTATTAAATGAGCAATACATGCTGTATAACATAATAGTTAAGTCTACAGTTAAATTTAAAATAAGGTAAAAAAAATAATAATAATAAAAATAAAAATTACACATGTACTAAATAATATGAAATATTTGAAGAAAACACATGACACATTGGTTCCTTTGAAGCTGACTAGCCAAATGAAATTTTTCATCTTCCCTCCATCTATTCTTGGAAACTGTAATGAGCTCTATATTCCAGGAATCTTCTAATTGTTTTAGTAAATGAACGCAGATTCAGCCCTCTAATTTCTTGTGGTAGTTTTTTAAAGAATGCTTTTCTTTGCTGAAATATCTTATTCTTGGCCTGTGGAAGGCTCAAGATGTTGCTCTGTCACGTACTGTAGGAATGCGTATCGCCCCGTCTATTATATAAAATGATGTATAAAACGCGAGCTTTCATAAATACAAAGGTTGTATATGGTGAGGATCTTGAGCACTCAGAAAAGTGGCTTACAATGTGTGGTCTGGCTTTTAATGCCTTTCAGGATATATATGGCTCGCTTTTGTATTACAAAAGTTTATTCCAAATTTGATATTGTGAATTCCATAGTGTAGATGACTCTCAAATAGAGCGTAGAAGGTTTGCTTCGCTGTCATTGTGTCAATATAAGTAGCTGTGGTATTTATTGCAAACAAAGCTGAAGCCAACTTCTATGCTAATAAATTTATATTGATATCCCACCTGAGATCACATTTAAGCATTATTCCAAGGAACTTATATTCACTGTGTGCTTCTATAATAAATAAGGTTTCTAATTTTCATTATTCAATTTTGTAAGGCTTTCTTACTAAAATTCATATTGTCACGGCTTTGGATTGCCTGATAGAAATCTTGGGTTCGTTGTTCGTTTCGTTTATTCCAAAAATCGAAGTCCAGTTAACACAGCAATAATTTATTACACGTAATAATACACTCTGACACTAATTACTTTAATAACTAACTCAACAATTACACTCTTTACTATCACTATTTAAATCGTATCACAGTCACAGTCGAACTGAAACCTAAACTACAAAGCAATAGCGGCCTTTTATATATCCCTAAATCTATTCCTGTAAAATCTAGAACACCCACGATAATCTTATTTTCTCGATTATAGTAGAATTAATAATTCGCTAGATTCTAGGATATTCGACAATTCTTGACAGCCTGGCGGACGCCGTTCCTCTGGCGAACACCGTTCTTCTGGCGTCAGCGTTATCGTAACAATATACTTGGTTTTTGTAACGTTGTCAGATATCAAAAATCAAAATCAAAATATGCTTTATCGTCGTAAAAAAATAAATCCATTGACAAAGCCAGTAATTCCTAAACCTAAACTTTCAAAATAAAAATAGCATAACATTAAACGAGGTAGGGATATATAGAGTATACAGATGAAACCGAAAACAACAAAACTACCATCCAAACATCTTCAAAGGGACAACAAAACAAAATAGGAACATCGTTTGGCATGGTAAGGTTAAAAAAATAAAAATACATTACAATTAAAATTATACACACTGATTACACTTAGTTGTTGATTAAAATACTTACCTAAAAACGTTTACAGTTGTTACACACACAAAGAATTTAAAATAAAAAATAAAAAATAAATAAAACTTAAAATAAATAGAAATAAATAAAATTTAAAGTGCAAATCAGACTCAAGGAACAATAATGTGTGTCTTTTTGGCAGATAGTAAAATTTTAAATTAATAATGATCACAGAGATATTCATTTATAGAGTAGTATGCCCTATCAGTAAAACAATCACTTACTTTTCTTCTAAATTTTTTGAAATTATCAACAGATTTAAATTCTGGTGGTAACTTATTAAAGATTTTTACACTTCTATAAATAATGGAGTTTTGTGTAAGGCTGGAACTAGGAATAGGAAGAGGAATATCATTGTGATTTCTGGTTTGATAAAAATGAGCATGAGTGACATCTTTATATTTTTTGAAAATTAAGCTCACAGTTTCCAATATGAACAATCCAGACAATGTCAAAATCCTCTCTTTTTTGAAGAGGGGCTTACAGTGGTCCCTAAATCCGGCCCCAGTTTGTTAATATCGAATAAATTTTGTAGTTGGATGAGATATTTTTGTATACAGCTATGGAGGTCGTCTTCATCGGTACAGCACCATGTTGCAGTGGTGTCGTCCGCAAAGAGTGTGATGGTAGCTTTGACGGACAAGGTCGAGGTCATTTATAAATGGTAGGAACAGTAACGGTCCCACTGTGGAACCTTGGACCACTCCAATGTTGATTTTCCCATCTTTTGATGTTATATCGTTGCCTTCATGATCCATATTTTGTATTTGTAGCTGGAGAGAAGCTTCTTATCCAGCTGTTGATGTCATCCGTAAATCCGTACCACTCAAGTTTACCAAGAAGGATTTTGTGGTTTACACACTCGTGTGCAGGCATTTCCCGAATCAAAAAACAATTGTTGCGATTGCCTTGTTATTATTTCTGGCTTCGTATATTTTCTGGATTGCGCCGTAGACAGCGTCAACGGCGTTCTTTCCTCTTTGGAATCCAAACTGTCCCCGATGTATTATTTTGTTTCTGTCTATGAAACCCTCCATCCTAGATTTCATCCAATTTTCCGTAAGTTTTGAAAAAAAAAAGAAAGCACTGATATGAGCCTATAATTATCTGGATCAAAGCACTGTCCACCCTTGTGTACACGTATGATATTTGCAGTTTTCAGGCACATGGGAAACAATGTTGTCTCGAATAAGTCGTTAATTGCTTAACATATTACATAAAGCAGAGTAGGTGGTAACTTTCTGAGTACGACGACCGTAACATCATCAGTGCCTGGCATCTTTTTGCTTGCTATGTGTGACAGGGTTGTTTTGATCTTTTCTGTCATAGTTGGTGCAAAGTGCAAAGAAAAATTAAGATTCGGTTTGGGCTGGAACTATGTTGAATATTTTCGGGACATTTGGTATATTTTGAGCAATCATGATGGCAACTGTGGAATAAGGCTCGATAAGTTCGTTGGTTGCATCTTTTACAGTTTCGATAACCATATTGTTGACTGTGATTGTGACTTGCTTTTTATGTTTTCTAGTTCTACTGGCTATCTCATTAATGATGTTCCAAGTTTTTCTGGTTGAGTTTTTGCAGCTTTTAATTTCACCGATGTAGTATGATTGCTTAGCTTTTTTGGCGACAGCTCTGAAAGCACTCCTATATCTTCTATAATAGAGTTTAATGCCAATATTATTGGTATACATATTTACAAAACTTTTCTGGAATCTTTTGCAGGTGATTTTTTACCCAAAAACTAAATAAATTGACATCACAAAATTCCTCTAACTAAACAAAATGTAAAATAAATACTGATTCTCAATCATCAGTGCTTCATCTAAATGTTGAGGACTTGAAGAACATACCAGAAACTAATAGTAGTACGGACCATAATTTATATATTGGTCATGTTAACATCAGATCCCTTGTTCCATGCTTTCCTGATGTCTGTGACCTGTTGCAACAACAAAAATTTCATATTTTTGGAATAACTGAATCTTGGCTTACACAAGAATATCCTGACAACCTCGTGAATATCCCTGGGTATAAGTTATTCAGAGCAGACAGAGTTAGTAGGGGAGGAGGTATTTGCTTGTACGTCAAATCAAATCAAAATCAAAATATGCTTTATTGTAAAAAGAGAAAAATATCTTGTCTACAAAGCAGAAAAATACGATAATAATAAGAAAAATACAATAATATAACAATAAACACAATAATAAAATGTCATAATTTAAATTTACAAACCGCCGTAAGAATAGATACAATTATTAAAACTAAAAACAAAAATACTTATGAAAACAGGACATTAAAATGAAAGTACTTGACAAAATCAATAGCTGCAAACCTCGCTACAAACAATCATCGTAATACTCCTCCAGGCTGTAATAAGACCTTGCCATCAATACACTCTTCACCCTTTTCCTGAACCGCGAGTATGGCAATTGTCTATATTCGGTGCCCAAATGGTTATATATCTTGAGGCCTTCATATATAATGGATTTTTTTGTCATTCTGGGAATAGGGAGTCGTAGGTTTTGGTTTGCATTCAACCTTGTGTTATGCAAACGGTCAGGGACCTCAAAACACGATTTTTTGTGAATCAGACACACTGTTTCAAGAATAAATAAAGACACGACTGTCAATATCCCGTGTGTGATAAACAGTGGTCTGCAATGTTCCCTTACTCCCACCCGACACATAAATCGTATTGCTTTTTTCTGCAATACAAATATTGAATTAAACAATTGTTGATTACAAAAGCCCCAAAATGTTATACCGTATCGAAGGTGCGATTCAAAAAGTGAAAAATACACCATCCTTGCCGTCGCGGTACCCAATTCGTTGGAAACGACTCTGATAGCAAAGCAACCAGAGGCCAGCCTAGAGCTCAATGATGAAATGTGTCTATCAAATTTAAGTTTGTTGTCTATGAGAAGGCCCAAGAACTTAGTGACTGGTTCATTTTCGATTTGTTGATCATTTATCTTTAAGTCATGAAAACTAAAACCAAAAGTCAGTATATTAGTTTTAGCGATATTTAAGCTGAGAGAATTAGCATCACACCAACTCTTGATTTTTGGTTGGTCCACAGTTATCATCTCCCTAAGATTATCGCCTGTTTCCGCATGCCATAGAAGAGTGGTGTCGTCCGCGAAGAGAGTGAACTTACCCCGAATATTCACCATCGCAAGGTCATTAATATACACCAAGAAAAGAACAGGTCCCAACACCGATCCCTGCGGTACACCATGGTGACATACCAAGGGAGCCGACTCATCATTGCCAACTTTCACCACCTGAACCCTCTCCGAGAGATATGTTTTGAACCATAGATTCGCCTTTCCCCGTATACCACAGCGGTGAAGTTTCCGCAGCAGCACTTCGCGATTTACGCAGTCAAAGGCCTTTGAAAAGTCGCAAAATACTGCTGCAGCCACATCTCCGCCATTCAGACTTGTGTAAAGGGTCTCCAGAAGCGAAAAGATTGCATCACTCGTACTCTTAGATGCTTGAAAACCAAACTGAGAGGCTGTTATCACATTAAATGCCGATAGAAAATGAACCAGCCTCGATTTCACTAGCTTCTCAACGACCTTCGAAAGGGTGGCAAGTAGCGATATAGGG